GCTAGCCAGCTGAAAGTTGGACGTTATCCAACTGAAAGCTGGACGCTACCCAGCTGAAAGCTGAAAGTTGGACGCCAGCTAGCTGAAAACTAGAAGCTAGGCGTTTCAAATTTTAGGAGACAATTTTTTTGTTAGTAATTTATTTCTGTCAAATTAATGACCGAATACGTTTTCATACGTATTGATTCAATAATTTTTATTAATATTATATAAAACATTTTTTAGTTTAGTTATACGCGTTTTACAATTGTCGTTAAAATTTTACAGGCCTCTAATTGTATATATAATTGTCAATCTTAAATTTTATAATATATTATTAAATTATATTATGCGCTAAATAGGTGAAATCATATTTGATAACATTTAAGCGATAATATAAAATTCATTCACACACATACATAATAATGTCTTACAATAAACATATTAGTATATCTAGTTAATATTTTTTTAATTTTGTGTTATATTATCATATTCAATGCATTTCATGCATAATACGCTTGCCCTTTTTTATTCACTTTGACTTTTCTGTAAAATTGCAGTATAAACATATATTTCACAAATATGTGATTCAGGAAACAAACGAGAATAAAGACAATTGAGCTAGTACGCTGTTAATCGTGCATCAATTATTTACTTTTAATAATCATAGTTAAAATCTACAAATATCCATACGTATGTTCCAGTCGTAATTTTTTGACTTTTTTCAATAGTAAAATATAAAAATTATAATTCGTGACATTTGTGTGATAGTTCATTCGGGAATCGCGGAGATAACATATTTGATTGTATCATGCATATACAGGGTCATCGAAAAGTACCGGACCCCCTAATGTCTTCAGTTAGAATGCATTTTGGAGAAAATGTCCAATAGCAACGTTGTATGATTTCAAGTGGGGAGTAAGATGATGACCTTGACTTTGACCTTGACCATGTCCTTCAAGGTCATTTCAAGGTCAACCTTATTTTTTTGAATGGAATTCCCAACATTTTATTGCATATTCTTATAGCTTATCTCGAGAGCTTTCCAAAACACTATAATAAAGCGTTTTTTCATTAACTACTTTTTGTTATAAAGGTTTGAAGTTAACAATTTGTTAAGTGGTGTGTGATTCCGGCCAGTTAAGGCAAGAGTGGTGTATGATTCCGACCAGTTAAGGCAAGAGTGGTGTGTGATTCCGACCAGTTAAGGCAAGAGTGGTGTGTGATTTCGGCCAGTTAAGACAAGAGTGGTGTGTGATGCCGGCCAGTTAAGACAAGAGTGGTGTGTGATTCCGGCCAGTTAAGGCGAATTTCATTCCAATTGGTCAGCTTGGGCAAAATATTCAATTGTACCAAACAATTCACAACAAATGTTTAAATTGTTGCCCTTCAACAGCCTGGTAATGTGCCAATCTGTTATAAACAGCTGAAACCGCATTCCGGAACGTTTCCGGCGGTATTAGTTCTATCTCTCGAGTTATCCTCCCTCTTAAATCATTTAAATCTTGAGGCTTGGTGGCATAAACTTTACTTTTCAAGTAACCCCACAAAAAAAAGTCAAGTGGGGTCAAGTCCGGAGACCGAGGTGGCCATTCAATATGACCCCTTTGCCCTATCCACCTGTCCTAAAAGACCTCATTCAAATATTGACGGACAATGACACCATAATGAGGTGGAGCTCCATCCTGTTGGAAATAAATTTCATCCATATTTCCACCAGCTATGTCTCGAAAGCTGGAACAATTTGTTCGCGAAGCATGAATGTGTATACCTGTGCTGTCAAATTGCCTTCAATGAAGAAAGGGCCTACCATTGAAGAACTGGTCTACCATTAAGAATACCAGCCCATACGTTAACTTTTTGTGGATATTGGGTATGATTGTCTCTTTTCCAGTGAGGATTAACGTCGCTCCAGTATCTACAATGGTGTCTATTTACATTTCCAGTCAGTTCAAATGTTGCCTCATCAGAGAAAATAATATTATTAAGTAATAGAGAATCGTCGACAATCATCTCCATCATAAGATCACAAAATTCGATGCGTCTATTAAAATCGTCTTCGGACAACTCTTGGACCAAATGGAATTTGTATGGATGCTATTTATTTAATTTCAGAATTTTACTGACAGATGCATAACCGATTTCGTGTTCTTGTGCAACGCGATTGATGGAAATGTGGGGACTTTCAACGAAAGACTAAAACATCTAATGCCTTATCATTATTTGTTGCTGTTTTATGTCTACCAGATCTTGGGCGGCTTTTAACGCTATCAATATCCTCGAAACGTTGAATAGTACTTACACAGGATTATAGTACTTTTGGAGATCCTATTATTTTCATTCCGAAAATTTTTATTAAATAATCGCGTTATTGTTTTATATCCTCTTTGTTGATCTCCGCATCCTCGCATCATTAATAGTGTTATTCGATCTCTTTCAGAAAGCTCTGTCATTCTTAATTAGAGCAAAGAAGAATTAATCAGGTAAGTGATAGGAAATTGATCTAAATAATTAAGTAGAGAAAAATACTAATTATTAAGTGTTGGCCCAACTATCGATTTGTTTATTTCAACCAGCACTACCAAAAAGCTCGTTGAGCAACTGAAAATCGAATAGATCAATTAATAATATTTACGAAAATATTCTGGGCTATTGGAAACAAAATGAAGATGTTTGGGACAATCAATTGAAGCGCAATGGCTTCTTTTGTTACAGAAAGAATTTTTGGGGCTGTTCGTTTTCATCCACGAGATGACTGCTGCTTGCTAAGAAGAAGACAGCACTGCATCAAAGATTCAAATCAGTGATCCGCATTATTTGCTCAAGAGCTCGTATTACTATTGGTGCCTGCGAGAGAGACAATAAAGATCGGCCCTGCCAACGCTTTCGGGCAGATTCCCGCTAACGCTTTCGGACATCACGCATTCGAGCAGCTTCTCACGATCACCTTCGGGCAGTTTTCCGCCATAGCCTACTAGCATAACCGCTTGAAGCCGTACAACTTTGCTATTGGACATTTTTCCAAAATGCATTCTTACTGAAAATATTAGGGGGAACCGATACTTTTCGATTAATGTATTTTCTTTAAACCAATTAATTGATCTCATTATTTCGCGCACAAAAGTATTAAGGTTATGATTAATGAAAACTAAATAATATTTTACAAGATATTTTATATTTTGTGTCAAAAAATTGTTAACTTCAAACTTTTATAACTCAAAAAGTACGTAATGAAAAAATGTTTTATTATAATGTTTTGGAGAGCTATAGAGATAAGCTATAAGAATATGCAATAAAATGTTGGGGTTCCATTTAAAAAAATAAAGTTGACCTTGAAATGACCTTGAGGAACATGGTCAAGGTCATAATCTTATTCCCCGCTTGAAACCATATAACTTTGCTATTGGACATTTTCTTCAAAATGCATTTTAACTGAAGATATTAGGGGGGTCCGATACTTTTCGATGACCTTGTATGTAAGTTTGTGTTATTCGGAACTTGTCTGTGTAGAGTTCTTATTTGTAACAATGAAGGATTTATAAAATATTCCGTCAGCGAATCCGGTCAACGAAAGTTGAGTGTTTTCATGACTAGATAAACGTTACTCACCAACAGTAAACGCCGAAGCCCCGCTATTTGCAAGTATTATGTGTGAAAAGTCAAAATCCTACAGCGCCCAATGACCTCGATAACAAACGTGATTCACCTGTAGGTTAAACAAAAATAAGGAGCAACGCAGATTCGTCAAGAAAAACAACTTCAACAAAGTAATCGTTCACCAACTGAATCAAACATAGACAATCACAATGAAATCGAACATGTGGTTCAATAATAAACAATAACTATTATTGGCGTGCGATAAGAGATATAATAAACATTGACTATTATTGGCATGCGTCCACGCTCAAAAATCAAGGACGAATGACGAGTACCAGACGGCAGAAAGACTTAAAATATATCTCGAAAACTCTGTTTGTAAACAGGATGGTACATTATAATCTATCGAGTATTACATTTGAAGTACATTTGAGTAATACATTTGAAATTTCTGTACAAATAGCGCGCCCCACACGCATTTGCTACGTTGTTATATATGCGATTTATCTCTGCTCACATGTTTATTTTGTGTAAAGAACTGGTCTCACGATTGTGTTAATAATTTTCTATACGCTAACTTTTATGAAGTTGCATATAGAACATTATATGACAACGTTCATGATTTTGAATTGTTAGTGTTATTGTTTTTGTCGAAATCGTGAAGGTTGCCATGCAGAGCTCCGTGCACAACTTCATAAGTTAACATATAGAAAATCATTAACACAATCGAGCATCGTGAGGCTAATATCATATCATTACGATTAATTATAGCATAAGAAAATATGCACAAGTAGTCGTGAAGCATAGTGCAATTGCAGAGAAATATCACAGCGTACCTACTTACAGTATCTATCTACTCGGGCAGAGCGGCATATATACTAGGAAGTTTTCTCATTGCGTTTTGTCCAAAATATTAAATATCATTTTCTAATATTATATATAGATGGATTTGATATTTAATGCTCTAAAATTTTTGTCCTTACAAAAACTTAAAAATTTTGCCAGAGTAACGAGAGGGGGAGGGAGTAGTTCAACATTAGAAATTTAAAAAAACTGAACACATGGTTGCAAAGAGCATAAAATATTGCAAAACTTTTGTCTGAAACTTTTTTTCATATGACTCATAATTTAGAAAATATTTGATAAAAACGATAACGGCTATTTTTTTCAAGGGGTGATTTCACCCGCTAAATATGCTCCGAAGCCGATATAAAAAAATATGTATCCCTTAGTTTTTTATGCTCTACAACATATCCGAAGCCCATTCAAATCGGTGAGGGACAGTTGTAACACTCTTCTTGTAAGTCCTGCAGCAATGAATTAGTTATTAAAATTTGAGTGTTATTATGGAAAAATAATTGTGCGTCGAAACTAGCGAGAAAGATACAATGAAGGATATGTCGAAATAATATTTTATGTTATAGGGAAAATTTAGGGAGGAACATTTGCATATTGCTATCGCGGATCCTAAACATCCTCGGCAAAAAGATATTCTCCAAAGAAGCGAATATGTTCACGAATATTTTGCGCCAAGGTCTTCTTGAGTTGCCGAAAGATTCCGTGGATCAATGGAATAATGCGATAGCGCGTCACGGGAAAGCTGGAACTGCGCTTTTGATCTTGCTGTACTATCATTTTCACGGCACTCGAGAGTATGATGTTATCTTCTCCTCATTATTATATTTTTCAGTTTGTTTGTTTATTATTTGTTATATCACACGGATCCTTGCTTTACGATAGATAAGGAAAAATATTTATTATTATTTCTGCTTTATCATATTTCTGCATGTCGAAATAATACAACGACCGTTGTCTGATTTTGTCGGTTTTCAAAAATCTCAGAATTTGCAAATGGTTTTAAGAGTCTCCGAATTTATATTACCACAGTATGTTTTGTTGATTCATTTCTGAGTTATTCCGGATATTCCAAAATCTGAAAATTCTCTAAATTTAATTTTGCGAATTTCTTATTCTTCGGTTGTTGAGATATCAGCTGAATGACGTTACTAGTGCACTAGCGATCATTTTTAAATGTTTACGAAATATAAAAGTTTTGCAATTAAGAAACGACAAGAGTGAACACATCATGCTTTTTTTTCCTTAAAATTTTTTGTTAAGATGCAGATTCAAAATCGAATTGATTGCCACTTGCATGCTTCTTTTTAGAAATGACATAGTGTCTCTGCAGTCGTTAATCGCCCGAGTTATGCTACTGTCGCCGTCTAAAGTGATATCAGTCTCTGTTTTAAAACCGTTATGGTTCTTGTTCGCTGTAAGTATAATTCATCACTTGACTATCTGCTATGCTTTAATTGTATTGGATCTCGCAGGTGACGTCTATATCATATCCGTGTCCTAGTTCGGTAAAGTATTATGATAAAGCGGTTGTTCATTTGACGAGAATCCTACATAATTCGCAAATCAACGAATTTTACACTCACCATATTGATCTTCTGCACCATTGTCTCGTATGTCTTGAGTTTCCGCAATATGTGCTGAAACAAGTCTTAGACTTGTGGTTGAAGGAGTCTGACGGTGATATAAAGCCGTTGTTGGCGTTTAATTGCGACAAAGTGGTTCGTCACTTATTGGCAAGTACAAAGCTTATATATTTTCTCTTTTGCAAACGATACCGAGCATGAAATTGAAATTATTGTGTGTCCATGTCATTCGCATTTGACATGAGCGCACTTTGCCGAAAGGAAAAAATTATTTAAGCATTCATCTTTCGTTAAGTGATATTGTAATATTCAACGACTTCGTTAAAAAGTAAGCCGTGATAGGCTCACAGTGATCATTCTTTGCCTGCTAATAGGTCATTGTGCAGGCTGGTCGCCCGCAGAGTCTTATGAACTTAGCTGCGAAAGCACTTCGTCATTTGATTCAGATCAGTGATCGCTATGTCGAACAAATTGCGGATATCGTGTGGCACGTGCTGCCTAATATTCTTTCATCGTACGAGTCAAATACCGGTACGTTAATATTGAGTTATATAATCTTTTTCATTGAATTTTGCGTGAATGATGACGCGTTTGATGACCTTCTATCAGAGAAACTTTAGGGGGTGTTTTTTGTCGAAAGTTAAGAGGGGAATCTTTTATAAATATATATTCTTATATCCTTTATTGATAAATTATACTTCTTCAAAAAAAGGGAATAAAAATTAGGTGTTTATTTTCATCAATTATTATTATATTCCTCAAATGTTGGAATAATAAAAGAAATGAAAATTGTTGAACATTCTCCACTAATAGAAAAATTATTTATTAATATTTTTTAATAAATAGTATTTTCATTAGTGGAAAATTTCTTGTACAATGCTTCTTTTCTAGGAAAAAAAGGTTCCGGCACTCAATTATATGCTATCGGTCACATAATCGGTGAGATAATTAACGACAAAAATTTAATATAATTATATCAACAAAATCATTATATATGCATTATATTTTTTAGTTTTATCAAAAAAAATAAACAGAGTGCACTCACACTTATACACTTATACACTTACAGTGAAATCATTGCCTGAAAAAATCATTATGCTGAATGTTCAGTAAGGAAAGTACCAACGTAATCATCACTCGTCTTTTCGTAGTGTATTATAGTGTATATCTATGGGCATTTTACAATTTTCTCAGAACTATGTAATTTTGAAAAAAGAAATGAACGGCTGAGTCAGCAAAAGGTACCAATATAACGTACCGTTGCGTACCGACAGAAAAAAGTACTGCTTTCGTATCATTAAAAGAAATAAAACTAGTAATCTCCCTCCCCCCGCCTTATTCAGTTTTTTATTAAAACTTTTTAATGGGCCGAAATGTGATCATTTAACAAAGAAAGGTATTCAGCTTCCAGTTGTCTTCACTGATTTGAATGCGCTTTGAACATGTTGTAAAGCATAAAAAATATTTTCTTTTTACACAGGCGTATGTCGAAGTCTAGGAGTTGAAACAACCTTCTGAAGAAAATAACCTTTTTCATTTTTAGCAGATATCTTCTAAAATACGAGGAAGAAATGTTTCAGACAAAAGTTTTGCAGTATTTTATTCTCCTTGAAACGGTGCATTCAATTAAAAAAAAATTGTCAAAAATTGTTTTTTACTCCTCCCTCCCATTCATTACCAAAATTTTTATGTTTGTGTAAGGACAAAAATTATAGACCATTGAATGCCAAATCCATCCACTTATAATATTAGAATGATGATATGATATTTAATATTTCGAAGAAAATTCAATATGAAGGAACTTCATGATAAACATAAATATCGCGCTATCCGAATAAACAGATACCGTGGATATATTATATTATTTCTCTGCAATTGCGCTATGCTTCATGACTGCTTAGGCATATTTTCTTATACTACAAGATTAAAACGAATTCATTGTAATGATATGATATATAACATATTATACAAAATAAACATGTGATCATAGATAAAGAATGGGTGTCAATAAGACCGTTTTTTGAACCCTCTTCGATTAGCTTGATACTGTGCGAAATTATTACTGTTAATGTATCTCATAACCCCTGAAATCCGTTTTTCGATCGGTCAATTAGAATCGAAGATAGAGCAGTTTGAAGATTCTCGATTTGATACACTTAATTCAGAACTCGTTATATTTCTCTAAGTTATTAATCAATTTCGGCCATCAAACTTTTTCAAAACTATGCATACGTATGACGTTGAATATATGTATGTAAAAGTCGTTGACCTAGCCCCTTAGATTAACCTTAAAAATGTCCTCGTTTGAATAAGAGCAGTAATATGATTTTCGCGTACTTTTTTATGTTTCTGGGAATCAAAAGTAGCTTTTCTATTCTGAAATCTTTAGGCGTGGTATGTAATATAAGTACAAAAAAACATTTCTGCATCATCAATTCATACGCTATGAACATGATATCTCAAGATGTGATTTTCATAAAACATAAATAGGATTAACACTTCAGAATGATAGAGCAGTAGCAACAGGATACAAATCAGTTTTATGAATCGTAGCATATTCTTTTTCTGATATTTAATTCTGACTAAATAACTGTCGGTCTTAGCCATTTAGCATTGTAAAGGATGTGGTAGCATTGTAAAGTACGTGTGCTTTTGAACTTCTTTTTGATCGATCCATTCTTAATGTAGATTTTGTGAGAAAAGATAACATAATAGTGTATCCAAACAATTGATAATTACTCGGTGCGAGTGCCGACATTTTGTAGCAAAGTCGAAAAAAAAGCAACAACTGATTTTTCTTCGAAAAAGCACAATAACGAGGCTAATGTAGTACTTACAATGTCAGAATCTTCAGAGTTGCAGGATATTCCGTCCGCATCTGCAAAAGTGATGATAATTATTAGGTTGTTCGGAAAGTTCGTTTCAAATTTTTGAAATAAATTAAGAGCGCAATATTTTACACAAAGAGGAACTTTATTGAAGCAAATATGTACCGTTTTGTTCAACGACCTTGGCTCATCTTTCAGGAAGCTGCATGATGCCTTTGCTCCAAAATAAAGGTTTCTTATTGGCGAAGAATTTATCAAGATGACTTTTGAGGACTTTCAAAGACTCGAATTTCTTGTCTCGAAGAAAATTTTTTAAAGAAAGAAATAGATAGTAGTCAGATGGGGCAAGGTCGGGAGAATATGGAGGAAGAGGAAGAACGTCTCATTCGAAGTCTAACAGCTTCCTACGGATAGACATTGCGACGTGAGGTCTGGCGTTATCATGATGGAAAACAATTCCATGCCTGTTGGCCAATTCAGGGCGCTTCCGTGCGATGGCAGTCTTCAGTTCGTCCAGTTGAAGGCTGTACTTCGCCGCGTTGATGGTTTCGTTTGGTCGAAGAAGCTCATAATATACCACGCCCTTAAAATCCCACCAGATACTCAGAAGAACCTTTTTCGCGTGAAGCCCCGGCTTGGCCACTATTTGCGTAGACGCGTCGCTGGTTCCCCATGACCTCTTGCGGCTAACATAATTGTATAGGATCCAACTTTCATCGCCTGTTATGATCCTCTTCAAGAACGGTTCTTTTTGGTGCCGTTGAAGCAGCATATCGCAGACGTTCACACGTTCCAGCAATTGCCGTTCATTCATTTCGTGTGGCACCCACACATCCAGTCGACTTGAGAATCCTAGCTTCTTCAGATGGTCATGCACGGTGGAAACAGACTTGTGCAGAGTATCGGCGAGTTCTCTAACTGTCACTCGAGGATTTTCGTGCACGAGATCCATAAGAAGCGTTTCATCAACCTCCTGAGGCCGGCCTGAGCGAGCTTGATCTTCCATGTTGAAATCGCCAGCTTCGAATCTTCGATACCATTTTCGAACTGTCTGGTGAGTGACGCAGGCATCTCCATATACTGAGAACATCTCATTCAGGGTCTGCGAAGCCGTGAAGCCACGTTTAAAGCAATATAGCATCACATGACGAAAATGGACTTTTTGGTTCTCCATTTTTCAAACTGATTTCTGACGAAATAGTTGCACTTAGGAAGATCTGTGAAGTTTCCTTAGCGGGCTCATAGATCCGGGAATGTTTGTTGACAAACATAAAATCGTTTAGAGCGCCCTTGTTCTTAATGATTACATAGAAATGTGGAGTGCGCGAAATTTGAAACAAGCTTTCCGAACAACCTAATACATATAAAAAGATGTATTATATCTGAGAAAGAATATATGGTTTGTAAGAAAAATGGCAATTTCGTACGCGTTTCATACTATTATGTTTTCTTTTCTCACAAAATCTACATTAAGAAAGGATCGACCAACAAAAAGTTCAAAAGCACTTTTTACGTACTTACTACATCCTTTACAATGATAAATGACTGAGGTCGACAGTTATTTAGTCAGAGTTATAAATATCAGCAAAAGAATATGCTACGATTAATAAAACTAATTTGTATCCTATTGCTACTGCTTTATCATTCTGAAGTGTTAATTCCATTTATCTTTTATGAAAATCACATCTTGAGATATTATGTCCATAGCGTATAAATTGATGATGCAGAAATGCTTTTTTGTACATTACATTACCATGCCTATAAAGATTTCGGAACAGAACAGCTATTTTTGATTCCCAGAAACGTAAAAAAAGTTCGCGAAAACCATATTACTGGTCTTATTCAAACGAGGACATTTTCAAGATCAGTCTAAGAAGCTAGATCAACGACTTTTACATATATTCAACATCATACGTACGCATAGTTTTGAAAAAGTTTGATGGCCAAAATTGATTAATAACTTAGAGAATGAGTTATATAACTTATGATGAGTTCTGAATTAAAGTGTAGCAAATCGACAATCTTCAAACTGCTCTATCTTCGATTCTAATTGACCGATCGAAAAACGGATTTCAGGGGGTTGTGAGATACGTCAACAGTAATAATTTCTCACAATATCAAGCCAATCGAAGAAGGCTCAAAAAACGGTTTTATTGACATTTATCCTTTTGTGCACATGTTCTATCTAGTGAAAGTTCGGAGAATGAAGAATGTCCTCCGAAAACAAGATCAAAAACGATTGCAAGTATAGAAACAGTAATTGCACTGGTTATATATCTAGAGTTTCCACCAACATCTGACATTATCGGATTACCACCTAATAGTAAAAAAATTATGATAGTTATATATATTTAAATTATAAACAAATATGCACTAAATACGAACTATTATTTTCATATTTTATGTTTCCGCATATATATAGCCCAGTATCAAGCTAAACTGTGTACTGTATAACGTTTACATTTAACCTGATACTGGAACATAAATGTTCCATACATAAATGTTATGTACATACTTTGTGTTATTAGGTAATATACTGTGACCAATTCTTTTTTAGCACATTAGTTTAATGTGCTATTTTTGCTGCATTTTTGTTTGAAATAAAAACAGTGTGGGCTAGATAAAGATAAGAGAGGGACTTTGGATATCTCTCTCTCTCTCTCTCTCTCTCTCTCTCTCTCTCTCTCTCCCTCTCTCTCTCTC